CTTTCCCTTTTGTGTATGTTGTTTTTCTTTCATGAGGTTATGACCAAGGAGTCCCAGAGGTAAGTGGCCCTCTAGATTTGAGGCAAATGTGCGCAAGAAGGCAGGGAGAAGGGGCTGGATGTGTGGTTAGGATGCTTGGGGAGGGGGAGATGGCCCAGGTACTCGTCTTTCACTGCTGCATGAGCTTGTAAATTTAGGACATGGGAAAGCTCAGATGAGGGTGCTGGTTGTAATACTGTCTTCCTTGAAAATAAAACATCTTTGTGAGTGATGATAGAGTAGTTATTATTTTACAGACGCAGGCTGCTGTTTTCCTATGACCATGATGCCACCGGGATGAAAATAGAGTCTGAAAAAGATTTTCTGGGCCAAGGTGTGTTGGTAAACCAGCTTTGGGGGAGCGGGGAAGGAATCAACCCCTGATTTGTAGTGTTTGCTGGTTTCTCTGATATAAATACTCTCATGATGGCCAATTTCAGGCTATCAACATGAAACCCCTGAGCTTGGAGTTGGGTGGAGACAGCACAGTCATGAACAAATACTGGCTGGCTCAGGCCTTTGGGCCATTTGGGACTGAAGCAGTGGGGAACTCTGGTTTGAAGTTCCATGAGTAAAGCAGTGCCAACAGTAATGGCTGCCACTGCTTGTATGCTCACTAAGTGGGAGATACTATTCTAAAGACTGTAATCTTTTTTTTTTTATAAATCTAGATACTTTATTTACAAATATTTAGAATAATAGCATTTTCTTACATCAAATGAAGAGTACAGAGGTCTGAATAAGTTCTGGCATAAAAACAGGAAGACTCACTGTAACTTTGGGAGTTGGCGTTGCACCCGGACAAGCTGCAGTCTTTAGTTTGTGATCGCTACCTCATATCCCGATGGGTGGTCAGTTGCTTTTGTCTGTGCAAACATATACACACACCAGCAGGTCACGAGGACCGTATTCTTTATGATCCCTCATTTCCTGGATTAGACAACCGAGACACCTAAGGGTGGATTAACTCTCCAAACGTAAGTACCCAGGGAACCGAGTCAAGATTCCATCCCAGGCAATCTCACCCGAGGGAGCTGTTTGAACACTCCGGGGACCATAACTCATCATTCAGGGTATTTGTTCATTAAGGCTACTTAGCCTAAACTCATGCTGAGTGTTTGGAGTGGCTCATCGCTGTCTCTGTTGGTGTCTGTATTGGTTTCCTATTGCTTCTGTAACAACCAAACTTAGTGGCTTAAAACACAAAATTATCCTAGAATTCTGGAGAAAGTGGCCTTCATCAAGGCTAAAATCAAGGGATCGCAGAGCTGCGTTCCTTCTGGAGGCCCTAGGAGAGAATCCATTCGTTCTTTCCCCTTTTCAGCCGCCCACATTTGTTGGCTTGTGGTTCCAACACTGACTTCTGTCACCATACTTCCTCTCTAAACCCTCCTGTTTCCTTCATGTAAGGACGCATGATTGCACTGAGCACTCTCATGTAATTTGGATAATCCCCATTTTATGACCCTTAATCATACTTGCAAAGCCTCTTTTACCTCGTAGGATAAGCTATTCACAGATTCTGGGGATTACGACATGGACATTTTGAGGGTGGGGACACTATTCAGCCTACTCAAGTGTCCAACAAATATTTTGGGCGGAAATGAAAGAATATGCTGAAGACATCAGGTGCATTTTCTTCAAGCATTGCTAAAAATGGGCTTTGCATTTTCCCTGGATTGAAAACAGAGGTGCTTCATACATAAAAGTGATTCGGACCTTGGAGTCCCGGTGTAAAAAAAATCAGAGTAGGTCAGACAGACTCTGAGGGAGAAAAGCCAGAGGACTGATCCAGGACCAGGTCCCGGGTATGTGACAAAGTCCAGGTATGCGACAGCTCCAGGTGTGCAACGCTTGAAGCACTGGTTATGTGGATGCCCCCAGGTATGTGAGGCAGCCTAGGGCGCTCCCACCACCTGAGTACACACACATCCCTCCAACTGATCCAAGACTTCAGGGACAGACGGTGGTGGGCCCTGCATTGCCCATGCGACCTGGCCCACAGCAGGCCTGTGATGGAGGGCAAATGAGGAAATGCATCTGATTTGGAGACTTTTCAGGAAGCAGACCCCGTAACAGACAGAATGGATCAAAAGTTGATACCTGGGGGATGTTTGGCAGCCATTCTCTCCTGCAGGACAGCCTTCAAAGTGGGCTGCAGAGATTATTTGCATGATGCCAACGAGCTTCATCTGAAGCTTGGATTGTTGTCATGAAAATCCCCTTGGCAGATTTTGTAAAAAAAAAAAAAAAAAAAAGTATTTACCTAGGTAACATATTCACTAAAGGAAAAACTTGGCTAAAATTGTCCATTTCTATTACCCATCCTTGGCTGATTTCTTATGCTGAACATTGCTTTCCTAAGAATTCAGTTTATGCTTGTTTGGCTTTTAAAAATGCCCAAGAGAGATGCCTGTTTCTGTCCAGATTAGTTTCCATCTCACTGGTCACAAAAAGGCCTCGGCTTGCATTACACAGTTGGCAAGGAAAATCAACCTTTGTGTCTTAGTTTTGTGGTGACAGCGGAAGCTCTCTGCCCAGCAGTGGCTGTTTGGCTGGAAGCATTCTTTTCTCAAAGCCCTAAAACTTAAATCCCTGTTTTATTAAGTGAGAGGGAATGTCCAAGAGCCCAGAGCGGGTGACAAGAAGCATCTTCAGGACTAGATATGAAGTCTTCTGATTGCTAAATAGCAGGGGAGAAGGGGTGAGGGGCATATGCGATCACCATGCACCCCCAGACAGGGAATGGCCCCTAGTCTGCCCAGCAGCACACAGTAAGCCACCGGCAGTATTGCTTTTAGGGTCAAGAGCCCAGACTCAAGTTCTAACTCAGGCTCCACCACTTAATTGCTCAATGACCTTAAGCAAATTTAGTTTCCTCATATTTAAAATAACAACAGGACTTACTTAAGAGGATTGTGGTAGGATTGATCAAATTAATCTCAGTAAAGAGCTTAGAGCTTTTAATTGCTCAGTAAGAGTGATAGGCTTTAAGTCTTAATTGAGTTTTCCATTGGAATGATGAACAAACTAAATTACAAATAGTCTAAAAGTAAATAGAAAAAAAACAATTTGAAAAGAGCACTTATGCAATAGAAGAAACAAAGTAAAATACTGGTAGACTGAAACATATCGAAAGTGGAAATTAGGTGCAAAAATATTATAAAGGAAAAGTTAAACAATAAATTGGAAAAAGACTGTAATGTATTTGATAGCCAAAGAATTCATATCCTTTTATATATTAAAAAGTCTAACAAATCTATAAGGAAACATTGAATACATACATCAAGAGAAAATATATACATCAAGTAATAAATATAGAGGAAGTTTTTTCAGTTATGAAAATTGCAAAGAAATCATAATGAAATTTATAATACTCAGTGTTGGTTAGCATGCAAGGTAACAGATATTGACATGTGTATTGGTTTAATTTTCTTGGAGGGCAATTTGAAAATATGTACCACATCTTAGAAATGTCGGTGAAATAGATCTTAAAAATGTCCACCTTAAACAAACAAATAAATAAATAAATGTTACACTAATCAGCAAGGGAAAAAAAAGACAAAAAAAGTCCACCAGATCATTCCACATCTAGAAATTAATGACATATCCGAAATAATTCAACGCAGCGTTATTTTTAAAAAGCGTCAAACCGACAACTCAAATTCCCAACAAAAGAGTAGTATTTAAAATATCTAGTTCTCTAATGAGATATCTTCAAAGAATATTTAATAACCGTGAATCTCAGGCAAAAAGCTAAGGGGACAAAGTGAGAACACAAAGCCATTTCTGGTTCAACCACCCCAAATTCAGAAAAATACGTGTGACGGTAGATCCACATGAAAAAGTATGGAAGGAAAAAAAAAAGCGTGAAAGAAAAAAAAAAGTCTGTAAGGAAAAAAAAATTACGATGTTAGTGATGCTCTCGGGATGAAAATTCGCATTATTTTTATTCCCAGTAATGTTCTGTATTTTTCCAATTTTCTATCATTTCCTTGATAGGAAAACAAGTTGTACTGGAGAGATCAATTGATCGACTGAGTGAGTGGTTAATCCACAGCGTTAGATGTCTCGGCGCGTCCCCGGAGTCGAGTCCCCGCTCCGCCGCAGGCATTCTGGGCCTCCTCGGGTCTTCCAGCCAGGTGCCTACAAAATAAAATAACACACTAGGTCGTCTTGGGTCTTCTTACTGCAAAAACATCCACGTCTGCAGGTTGACATCGGGGAGGGCCAGGTCGCTCTCAAGGACCGGGCCGCAGACTCCCAGGCCCGCGGGGCCCGCCGGGCGCGCTGCCGCACTCAGCGGGGCCCTCTCCAAGGCGGGTTCGAGCCCGAGCTCCCTCATCCCGGTAAACTGGGGCAGCGGCGCTTTTCTTATCAGCGCGGGGGGCTTCTGATCCACGGCGGGAAAGGACAGACTGCCTGCTGCCTGCGATGCGCTTTTGTGTCACCCGGTAGCTAACCTCCGGCCTCAGCACGCCCCCCGTCCCCCGCAACTGCCACCTTTCCAAGTGTTTCCCTAAATGTACCCCATTTTCAGAGACTCCTCGTGTGCGTCATTAATCGGGCTCTTTGCAATTTACAAACCACGTCACACAATCCGGGGTCCAAACACAGCTTACAAGATGACATTTCGGGCAAAAGAGCGTTAAAATTCAAGATTTTTAACTTCTACGTTTTAGTTATAGTATAATCCTTTCCAAGGAGGCCCCGGGACATCCAACCCAGACCTGGCAAAATGTACGTATCGAGCCAGCCAGGAGTCGAACCTAGAATCTTCTGATCCGTAGTCAGACGCGTTATCCATTGCGCCACTGGCCCCGTACACGCTGGCCGCCTGAGGGGTGTGCAGACAAGGTAGTGTGGCCATACCAGTCACCCCTGCATTTCCGCCGCGTCCCCGCCGCACAGCCCTGCACGCTCCTCCTTTCCCGACAAGCACGCTCCGCCGATGCGCGGCGGCGACGTCACGGCGCCCCGGCCCACGGCGTCGGAGAGCGTCTCCTGCGTGCTCTCGCGCGCGCACTAAGTTTGTCCCCGGCCGCCTCCCGTTCGCTCGCAGGCCTGGCGGGGCGCGGGAGAGGGGTGGGACCAGGCTGGACGCTGCTGCGGTCGCCGTGCCAGGGTGACCGGTAGAGCCGTAGCCGAGGTGGCGGCGCGGGGCGGAGCAGACGGAAAGAGGAGGAAGGAGGTGGTGGTGCAGGATGGCGGCGGCGACGACCTACGAGAGCCTGAAGCTGTGAGTCCTGCGGGTCGGAGTCCACTGAGCGAAAGGGCCTAAGGGGCGGCGGGAGGGGCGGCAGGTGCGGGACACTGGCCCCGGGGAGGGTTTCCGAGTCCCTGGACGGCGGGCCGGGTGTTGAAGCCCTTCGTTCCTCGCTTTCCTCGCCGGGCGCGGCCTCCCCAAGGCCCCGCCCGAGTCGCCGCACGCCGGAGGGCGACAGTCTCGCCAGCCTCTCTCCGTCCCTCTCGGCCTCAGCGCCCACGGTGGAAGAGCGAAGCTGCAGACTGGCCTTCCCGTTCCTCCCCACTTCTGTTTTTGGAGAGGTGGAGGCCAAGTTTGTCCTTACTGCTTAGCAGAGAAAGGAGATTTTTCTTATTTAAGGGACCCATACATAGCACGTTGGAGTCCACACGTACTGCCATGGGTTCATTAAATAAGAAAAACCGACAAACCTTTATCTAGGCATCGAAACCTGCTTGACCAGTCTTTAGGATGCAGAAAAAACGTAAAGTACAGTCAGTACTCTTAAGGTCCTGAAAGATTGACTTGGCTTTAAATATTATACAGCTGAAGCGTAAAGTAGGTTTTAAAATCCAGATGGACAACCAGAGGCTAATCTCGAGAATTTTGACTTTTTTGTAAAGCCAAGTTCTTGAGGCTTGGAGAAATAGGCTCTGGTTTGTTAAAGTTGTAAATTAGGTATTTGTAAGGTTTTTGGCTCGTCCTGGATAAATAAAAATATGTTTATTTTTCTTAGCATTACCATCTCGCCCCTACACTTTTTTCGTGTGTGAATAACTTTGTTCTACTCACTTTGTGTGTAATGCTTTACCTCTAGACTTTGAAAATTCAGTGGCCGCAGTCTGAGAGAATGTCTTTGGCTGCACAAGCAAATATAATCTTTGAGAAGCTCATCCATCCCTAAATAAGTTAAAATGTCTTGGTACTTAGGTATAGGTATTTCCTTTGCACGGATATGAAGACATCAGAATGTGGTTTGGGCACTTCCTATGTTCCCCAGAACCTCAAGCTCACTTTACTTTCTGGAAGGTTCAATTTTAAGTTAAGGACGCAAAGCAGGGAGTGAAGTCATCTACTCAACATCAGATATTTTGTAGAAAAGATGAAGATTACTTTTATCTGAGCCCACTCCGTTTGCCGTTCTGTTTACTGTATTACTGTAATTCTCTTTGAAAACCCCAGCTGCACATTTCCCTCCAGATTTTCCTGGCCAAGTTTCCTTATTCTCTTCCAAGTCCCCTTTGCAAGGTGATCACCTTGTTGGTGAATGAATCAATCCAGCAAAGTTTTTTTGACCAGAGGACTGGCTAGGCCAGTGTCATGTGTGCTCTGTTGGCTAATTGGGTTATTACTGTCTATCTGATAGTTACCAAAGGGTTTAATATGATCCTACACTAGGTCTCAAATGTGTTTAGACAATACGGAGCCTTGGCTCGATATAGCTGAGCGTCAAGTTACAGAATGCAACTGAATTTTCCTGTGGTAAAGACAGAATGGGATGGAGAACTTGAGCATTGTGATGATTGTTTATGAGCTGCCAAGGAGGCACTAAATTCACCAGCCCAGACCTAAAAAAGAAAAGAAAAAAGCTCTACATCCATAAGAGTAAGGAAATTTGGCCTTTAAGTGGTGAGGCTGATGCTTTTATATTGATTTTTGTGAGTAGTGGAAACTATAAATTTGGGCAAAAAGGAAATCTGGGGTTATGTGAAAGTCATCCTCTAAGTTGTCAGTCCTTAACTTTTTTTGAGTGCTTCTGTAAATGTGAAGATATAACTTTTGGCAACTTTGTTTTTCTTTACCAAGGAGTTCCTGATTTGGAGTCACTGCTCTTATTCCTTCTTTTTGGCTCTTTTTGCTGTGCGGCATGCCGTTCAAGGTTTTTAAATATGGCCCTGACCTTAGGAATATTCTTTTTAGGTGCATTTGGAGGTGGAAGTGGTTTCTGACCATATAAGAATTAGTAGGACGTAATAGCCATTTTAGAAAAACGTGTCTCGAGATGTGTTTTAAGATCCATTCAAGAGACCGTTTGATAATATTTTATTACAAAAATATTGTCACTGGGTTTATTTAAAAGTTGAAGTGCTTGAGATTTTAAATAATAATTTTTTCTACATTATGCCGTCCATTCTCTGGTCCATCTCTGTCCTGCTATGAAGTTCACCTTCCTCATTGCCCTGGTTTTATCCTTACTCCTCTGCTTACAATCTCCTGTTCCACTTTATGGATCTGTAGGATTAAGTCCACATTTTTTAGCCATCTGTATTTTAGCCTCTTCACAATATGTCCCCTAACTTTATTTTCCATAACTGCCCAATGCTCCCCACTCTCTCTTTCCTCCAGACTCGGAGACTCTCTTAGCTTCAGGCTTGGACTTATTTTGGGCCTTCTACCCAGAATGCCTTCTTCCTCTCTCCCCTCTTTACCCACGGATCACATCATGGTAGAGCTGAGCGGTCTCAGGCTTTTTTAGTCAGAACAGACTTAGATTCACATCCAGACCTTGCTACTTGCTTTGCGTAGCACGTTACTTAATCTTTCTAAATTGGTTTTTCGTCTGTACAATGAGAATATTACCATTTTACTATCATAAGGACTGAAAGAGAGTGTAGATGAAATATCCATTGTATTTAACAGATACTCACTTTCTCTGAGAAGCCTTTTTTCCCCCACATCTTGCCAAACTTCCCTGGGCTGCCATACCAGTCTACTGTCACAGGGACTACATGTCGAACGTCCATCGGTTTGCACATTCTTTCTCTCGGGTTGATTAACAGTATATTTACAGTCACATGGACAAGAGGCTGAGAGAATAGAATCATCAATCCGTAGCACAGTTCGAACCACTCACTTTGCCGTTAAGAAACGATGCAATCATTATGTATACTTTGTTTCTCCAGCTATGCTGCAGATACGTGAGACACATTAGAAACACCTTAACGCTGGTTTCTTCCCTAGTCCTCAGTGCCTAGCATCAAACCTCGTGCAGAGCGGATCCTCAGTGAATCACTGAGGAAATGAAAGGAACTTGCCAGCGTAGAACACCTACCAGCGCTTGAGAAGTCGAACACAATCTGAAGTAATTTGGAATGTGTTCTTTTGAAGTAGCAGCAGCTTTCGTCATTTCGTGTATATTAATGTATTTCCAGTGCCTCTGGGAGGTCACTGGTTGATATATACCCTGTCATTGCTGAAGACAGGGAAATAATTGCCCTTGGCCCCACAGTCAGGTCACACAGCCCAGCCGGGCGAACTGGCCTTGGAACACAGCAGGCCTGGAGTCCGGTGATCTTTCCATTACACTGCATTATTCAGACTACCTTTTTTCTCTGATCACATTGCTCTCGCCTTAGTCCTCAGACATGTTTCGTGTAGAATGAGTCACTTATAATTGAAAATAGTTGTCATGCCCATATGGATTTTTAATGTAGAAAACAATATTGATTTGTTCAGAATGTTAAATTCATACTTTTTAAACATCCAGGCAGTTCTAAATATCCTATTTTGCAGCTCTTTTTTCTTTTTACATCATTTGTAGAAGCATGAATGTCAGACAGTGATAAATTTGAAATTACAATAGAAATTCATTATTGGAAACATTTAAAGCACAGGTGTGGTTTTTTGGTTTTTTTTTAAAGGTCAACTGAAATCGGTATAAGGCACGAAATCCTTTAGAAAGCGAACCAGGCTGCAGCTTGCCTCTTCAGTTAGGAAGTCACCTTTCTTCTTAAGAGACTGTCGTCCTGTGAGGTCAGTCAGGGCAGATGTGGTGCAACCCTGAGAACTGAGAACGGGTGTAAACTAACCAAACGGATGGAGACACACGTGGTCTGTCTCGTGCAACGAATCCTCAGATTATTCACACATCTCTGCAAGGAGGAATGGAGGCAAGCTAAGATTTTCTTCATAGAGTTAGGCGCAGATGACAGGGAGTTTGTGTCCAGGGCATTGGACGAGTGGGGATTCAGGCTAGAAAGTCTCAATTGGTGGTGGTGTGCCTCAGACCGCTGGCCGCGTTTGTATTAAATGCATGTCCAGAGCCCTGCAGGAAGCCGACTGCAGGTCCATCTCTGAAGGTGGGGCCTGGTACCTGCACGATCAGCCGGCCATCCTGGTAGTTCTTTGCACTCTGGCGGGCCCTTTAGGGCCAGGTGAAGCTGGGCGAGGACCAGAGCATGCATTAGGAGAGCGCTCTGCGGGACCTGGGCTCTGGAAGACCTTGCTGCGAGTTAAAGCTTCGTAGTAGATGGCATTTAGACCTGGTCCTGTGGAGAATGGGTTTTGGAGACGATGGGTTTTAGGATGTACTCAGAAGAGAAAGTGGGTGGGGCCTCAGGGTTTTGAGGGAGAAGATGGAATTCCAATGAATTGGCTTTCTAGAACTATCAGCTGGGGTTCGGGATTGGATTGGGCTCCTGGGTTGTCTGCGAGGAACCTGGGCTACAGGACAGGTGCCCCAGCAGTCAGTCACTAAGTGAAGGAGAGACTGCTGGGCCCCAAAGGGAGGGCGAATGAGGGGCGGTGGGAGCACCTTCTGAGAATGGGTGTAGTAGGCCCAGAGGACCCTTTAACTATTTG